GAGGACCTACTGTGTGATAAGAACTCACCTTATTACTTTGCCTGAGTCATTCTCACAGATGCTCAACATAATCTCACAAGACAGGCACTATGGGTATTTGGGGTGGATGGGAGGGTGGGTGGGTTTGGTTGGTTGGTTGGTTAGTTGATTAGTAGGTTGGTTGGGTGGGTGGATAAGTTGGTTGGTTGGTTGGTTGGTTGAGATGGGGTCTTGCCATATATCCCAGAATGACCTTGAATTCCTTGTATGATCTCTATCTTAAAAGTTAGGAAAGTGAAACCCATAGAAGTTAAATCACTAAGGTGACATAGCTGATAGGCTGTGAAGTTGAGAACTGAGTCTGGGCCCCGCCCCCCACATTGCAGCAGTCAAAACCATCTCAGAACAGCAATCCCTATGAATGGTTTGTTTGAGGATTTGAGGCTCCCTCTTACAAGACTGTCTGATATTGGTATCATGCACACCAAGACACTGCACAAACACAAAGAAAGACACATTCTGTCTTGTCAACACCATCCATGGCCCTCATGTGCTGCCATCAAAATGTCCCTGCATTCAAGGATTATTATAAATTGGTGCCTTCATGCTCTTGAGTTATGGCTACCAACCCTTTAGTCTCATCAGCAAGTTGCCTTATAGCAGATGTTGCCAGGCTGTTTCCTTTAAGTATGTGGGCACTACCCTGGTTAAGAAATTCCTTTCATTTCTGTATCACATCTTCTTAGTTATTTTTCTATGGATTTCTCCTCCCACTGCCTGTCCAGTGTCTAGTCTTAAAAAGCCCTGCTGGTGGTTCCTCTATCGGTGCCAAGTACATATACCCTTCTCTGTCACTGTGATTTTAGTGATGAAAATGCAATAGACTGGGCAGACTGATCCATAGTACATGTTCTCCCTGATCCTCAGGACCCAGGAGCAGTACTGGATTTTATTTGTGGCTAATTCAGTATATGACCTTGAACATGTCTCCATTTCTCTGCAAGAGCAAGACAGAGCCTCTTTGTGTAGAGAGATCTGTGACCGAAGACTGATCACTCTTCTCCAAACTAGCTCTGTGAGATATTATTTATTAATTGCAGTTTCCAGGGTTTTTGTAAAATGTTGTATCACCAGGCATTCTGTAAAATGCTAGAGATGTGTAAACAGCAGTCAATTAAGGCCCATAGAGAACTTACATCTCAATGGCTACATTTTACTGATGAAGAAACTTACACCCAAGGAGGTGTAGAAAACTGCCCAAGGCTAAGCAAGCCCAAACCAGAATCAAAGACTCCTTTCCCCCAGGTTAGTAGACCATGGTACTCACAAACCTCTTGGCTTTTTTGTTTGTTTATTTGTTTGGTTGATTTAGGGGGGTCTTTGATAGCTTCTAATTTATTCATCATGTTGCAATCACTAAGCAAAAGTGGGTGGTCACGGTTTTCCTCATAAAGAAAAAAAAAAAGAAGTCATGCAAATTGGAGACATTTTCTCTGCTTGAGAATGAAATTGGTTGAAAAACATGCAAAATTTTAGACATTTTCAGAAAAGTGTCTCATTCAAAGTCATCAGAAAAATGAGAGGCAGAGGCAGAATGGGGAACCGGAGAGTTCCAGAGAGACATGTGGAAGATAATGGATTATGACAGGCTGTCCATGCAATCCTTCTGGCTTCCTAAAGTCCAGGTGGACACCCACACTGTCAGATTGATTGATTGTAGCACCGTCCTAGAATGTCGCCAATCCCCAGCACATGGATACAGTTGCACATCTGTTTCCAGAAGGTACTAGGTCAGAATAAAACCTTTCCCCTTTCAGCATAAATTGAGTTGCCAACAGTCAAAACATGGAAAGTAGGGCCCTAATGAGCCAGTTTTGTGACCACTGGGAGGTAAGCAAAGAAGATGGAAGCAGGAAGACAAGAGAGCTCAGATCTGGTTTTCACTAGGCTTTTGGGCTGTCTCTTAAACAAATCTGACCCTAGGTACGAGCTTGCCCTTTCCTAGCCCCAGCTTCCCTGGATATAAAATACATGTTTGGCAACTGCTCTAAAAGTTATTAAGGTTGCGGCAGTAAACTATGAAAGGCCAGAGAATTTCAAGCAAAAGTTATTGCATCAGTAACTCAGAAACTAATCCCTAAAAGTCCTGACACATTTATCCCGAGGGCGAGCGCCAATCCAGAAATGGAAATCATTATCAAGGGCCACTGTGTACCTGGAATTAAAATCCATCATTCCTCAGAGCGCAGAGCTGAGATTTGGGCAGAATACACACACCTTTCCTCAAAACTAGAGCCCTTTATGCTTCAGAAGAACATGACAAATTCTGCCTTCTCTGCTTATTTGTTTTTCTTTTCATTAAGAACCCCTCGTTACATTTCCTTTCAGACATTTCTTTCTTTGACAGTTCCACATTTAAACTGAAAAGCTTCCTTTTCCTTATTCAATTGCACCGGTTTTATTTGGGATGGAAACCCTGCTGGGTACCGTAAGAGAGAACAAGCTTTACAGCAGCAATAATCCCTTCTACAGCATCCATTGTGGGGAAACTTAATACACTTTTATTAAATGGCTGAAGACTTGACTCCAGTGATGCGAATTAACTACAGAAAAGCATAGAGATGGAACAACAGTCCCCACTTCTTTGTTAACAGACATCCACTTCATGCCCCACAACCCTGCCTAGAAGGGACCCAAAACAGAAAACTGCCACTTGGAAGACACCTTTGACAAGGGTCAGTGTTGCCTTAAGCAACACCGTTATCACCAAAAGTAACCAGGACAGGGCTGGGGGAGTGGCTCAGATGGCAAAATGCCTTCCACCAAGCACAAGGACCTGACTTGGGACAAGAGCTGAGTGTGACATCTGTGGGCAACTGCAATGCTGTGAAGCAGGGACAGGCTGACTCTCGGAGCTCCCTGTCCTGCCCACCTCTAGGTTCAGTGAAGGCCCTGCCTCAAAAACTAATGTAGAGCATGGTTAAGGAAGATGCACGGTGTGTCAAGCTCTGACCTACACACACACCTACATGTATCCCCATAGACACTCATGTAAAAGAAAAGGCAAAGGCAGAAAAGAAGGAACAGGATAGGATATTAGTGAGAAAGTGGAGAAATGGGCTCTCAGCCTCATTGGGGTGAATGAGAGTGTTGTAATTTTAAAAAGTGGTGTGCAAGAGAAAGAGGCCATGTGACAGAGCTTGGATGGAGGGATTTTTTATTGGGGAAGGTGAATGGGAGAAAAGGGGAGGTGAGATGGGCCTCTGGGGACAAGAGCAGCAGAAGGAAGGAGGGAGGGAGTTAGGGATGAAGAGAGAGGAAAGGAGAGAGGGAAGGAGGGAGGGAAGGAGGGAGGGAGAGTAGAGGCAGGCAGAGACACAGAGAAAAAGAGAAGGATGGGAGGTGGGCAGGGCTGTTTTAAAAGAGGACACAGTGAATGTGCACAGGTAGTGCTCTTAGTGGCTACAGCTGAGGCATATCCTGTCAGAACCTCAAGGACAGGCCAGTACAGATGCCTGAATACTAATAGAAAGTACACTTCAGAGTTTAAATGGACACACACTTAGACCTTGATTGTAGTAATTTAGGTAACTACACAGGTAGCTTTAACACAATCACAACAAAGAAAGCAGAAGCAATGCCCACGTTGTTAAAAACACAATCAGTGAATAAATGATATTGTCATCCATATTTATTGCCTCCAGACAAGCATTGGGTGGGAATGCACAGTCACAGACAGGCATGTGTAGGGTGGTGCCACTGTGTAACATCACAGCTGAAACTGTACACCGAGGTGGTGAGTATGGCTGTCTCCAGACAATGGTTGCCTTAAGTCATTTGAATTTTTGCATCTGCTGGAGACTTAGTTTGATTTGTTTCACTATTTTCATAGTGAGAATCACTTTATATTTTTGTGTGAGGGATTAAAGTTTTTCAAACAAAAATGTAGTCCCTCCCACCTCCACCCACACACAAAATCCCTTGCCTTTTATATTACCATACCTAAGCCCAATATGGTAGTGAGAAAATAAAGAGTATTGTAATGATCTCATAGTATATACCCAAGTCAAAAACCTCTAATTTATATGATTTCATTTATCAAATTATGTGCCTTCAGTGCTAGCAATTTATAATGTGATAATTATACCTCAATGAAGTTGTTTTTAAAGAAAGAAAGGTAATCTGAGTAATTTCTCTTCCTCACTGAATATTGTTTAAATATGCAATTATAAATTAACACATGCTCTCCCTCCTTCCCTCTCTGTCATATATATGTGTGTATACTGTGATATGTATCTGAGTCACTGTTGAAAAAGAAATTGGATGTTCCAATATGTGACAGGAGGCTATCCCAAGAGGTTAATAGCACGAGCACAGAGTAAGAATGCCTCTTTAGCTAATCCTCTGCTCCCTGGCAGTGTCAGCATCTGAGATCACAGAACTCACCATCTATCCTGCTTCCATATTTTTCTGTTTGCACTGTTTCTCTAAGTCTGTGTCAATCTTCCATACCTTTTACCCCAAAGTACATGCTTCGGTGCACTTTAAATTTACAGCCATAAATAAACAGTTCTCACTAGTGTCCCATAAGTAACTACACAGTGAACCTGGGGATGATGAGACAGACCTTCGGCATGCCAAAACCAAGTGTTGATTCAAAGAGGTAATTATGAATAGGCTGGTAAGTTTTTGGAGGCCACTCCCTGACTCTGCTGCCGGGTTATCGAATGGATGAATGTCCTTCCTCTATGAGACTAGCTACAAAACTACTGCAAAGATTTGCAATTGTCTAGAAATACCTCTGTCCACAGTGAGTTTGAGAATGGGATTTCTGAGTTCACTGGACAGAGTTGACACAGATGTGGCTCTCAGGATCACTGTCCTCACTACCATTTGAGGTCCCATCTCTTGATACCCATGAAGAATGTGATACCTGAACTTGCTGTAATGAAGTGACCCTCTGTGCAGGTTAGGCTGGCTTCTCATCACTATTTTCCTCCTCTGCCTCCCAATACATTCAGCTGGACCATACTGCATGGAAGAATCGGGCGCCCAGAGAACCCATTTCGAGTGGCCCTGGAATACATCTCCAGTGGAAACCGGAGCTTGTCTGCAGTGGACTTTTTTGCCCTAAAGAACTGCAGTGAAGGTACGTGAATCTGTCTTTGTCACCCTCTCCTCCACAGCCTGTCTTGAATGCATCAATAATTGTATTTAGCTTGAATATGAAGTCTGCAGTGATTAGGAACTGATTCTGAACATTAGCAAGTGTACCAGAGCCCAGACAATCAATTTTCAAAGAATTCCAGAATAAAGTTGTATCTGCTTACCTTAAAACCTTGTCAAGTGGAATACATCCTTTCTTAGATAACATGTTAGCTTGACTTCTGTGGTGGCAAATGCTTCCCACTACTTAATATTTCATTATGAAAACTGTAAATAGACACCAAGTAAATAGAATAGTACATGAATCCCTGCCTAGCAGCCTGAGCCCCTTCTTAGCAGTTGTCAACATTGTGTCATTTTGCTTCACCTACATCTCTAGCCACCTCTCCCCCTCCCCATAACTTAATGACAATCACTATTTGGCTTTTCCTGGAGGTAAAATGCAGAAGTAATTTTATTGGTTTTATCTGGCTCTTGTTAGCAGACAATATGGGAAATGGTTAGATGTGAAAATTTAGCTAATTTTGTGCAAGCCAGTGGGCATGGACACTGTGTCACTGAATTTCCTTTGCACAGACACCACATTGTGACTTTACCTCAAGGTAAGCTTTTATTCTTTTTTCCTTTTTACCTTCACTTCCAGGAAACCGAACCAAATGCAAAACTCCATCACAGTATTCAAATCTTTGTAGGCCTCTGATGAGCTTTTCTTCTTCCTTCCTTAGGATTTGAATCTCCTATCCTGGTTTTCAACATCCTATTTTGTAAGCATATTTCATTAAACATTGCTTCAAGTCTGAATGGAAAACAGACATTTCAACTGAGGTTGCCTTTTTTGATGAACCCAGATCCTCAACATCTGTGAAGCTTGATGGTGTTCAGAGACCTTCACAGATGCTTAAGTTCACAAATGTGGAAATGTAGCCAGCTAACAGAACTGTCACATGGGAAAGATGTCAGTTTACAGCGAACTGCATAATCCCATTTGAAAAACCATCAGGAAAGAAAACAATTGAGTACAAAGGCCCAGATATTAGGGCCGGCACAAAATAATGCCAACATGCCTGGCTCTGCAAAAACTCTTTGCATTCTCAAATTAAGAATTTCAGCCAAACACAGGGATGTTTCATCTGTTGCTTTGCAAGCCCCTCTCACCTAGAGAATTCTTGCGCTTGAGCTTGTGTTGCATGGCAGTGAATCTGTTACAGAACTTAAGCTCATTCCTTGTCTTGTTTCTCCATCCTTGCAAAACTGAAGGACTTCACCTCCTTCAATGATCTTCCATGACTCAGAAAGTTACCTCTGCAAGGAACCCTTTTCGGTCTCTTCCTTGTCAGGAAACCTGGGGAGGTCCTTACAGTCCAGCCACCTTCCTGTCTCTAGGTCAGGAGGCTCCATGTCCAAGGACAAGATGGTCTTCATAGGGAAACAGTTCATCTATGCATCCCCCACCCTTTTTAAAACTCAGAACTTGTTAGCTACCAATGCACAAGAGGGGTCTGTTTTGGGCAAGTGAGAAAATAAAGCAGAGAACAGTTATGTCAGGATACTCTGAGCACTTCCATCCCTTTTCCCATAATGGAGCAAATTCAGATGATGTAGACAAATTTCAAACATAAGAAGCACACTAAAACTGCACTCACATGTTTAAAAATCAAGGGGATTTAGGAGGATGCTTTGGTATATACTTGAGGCCTATGTGTTGTAGACAAGTGCCTGTGTTTCTGGGGTCATGGCCTTGGTTAGGTCATGAAGGAGAGAAGGAAGGGAAAATAATGTCTTTGAGGTGTGGATAGAACTGATGACATGCTAGCCAGTGCTATAGATGGGTCTGAAAGCTATGTAGTCTATTACTTAATTGTAACTTGATCCCTCTCATAATGGGGGACAGATAAAGTTTGAAGGGAAACACAGCTAATTAACTCTACTCCTCTTCCTTAGTCCAGTGAGGAAGAACACTGTTTTAGCTCATCTGGAGAAGGCTGACAGATGTTGGGCACAATTCTCACTGCAAAGGAGACAAGATCTATCTGTGGTATCTTCAGGAAGACAAAAGATGTACCTATTTCCTCTTTCAATATTGACATCCATCACAGTGTATGCCCTTAATCAGCTCTCAGTTAATGCATAGCAGTGTTGATGGAGCACTCATATAGGCTAAGTGTCCACCATCCCCTTCATTTGTATTGTCTCCCACAAACTTTATAATAATGATAGAGAGCAGGGACATTTCTCATCTCACAAGCAGGAAAACTGAAAGTCACAGGTGTTTCGAAATGTGCCAAAATTGCAAAGCCAAAATCACAAAACCACTGATTCATCCTTGATGCTCTCTTGCCTTTGTAGAAGGTGCAGATGCTGTAGTTTGATATGTTACTGGATGCCGTAGAATTCTCTCAACTCCTTCCTGCTCCTCTGATCCCTACACTAAATTGATCAGAACATCGAGCTTACTGCCACCTCGTATTCTATCTGTGCCCACATAGGTGCTTCATTGCTGACTCTTTGTTGGTGGTGGTTGCCGGTTTGTTTGCTTGCTTTGAGACAGGGTTTGTCTGTGCTCCTTTGGCTGTCCTGGAAGACCGGGCTGGCCTTGAACTCAGAGATCTGCCTGCCTCTGTCTCCCAAGTGCTGGGATTAAAGGTGTGCGCCACCCCCACCCGGCTGGCTACTTTGCTGACTCTTGAATTTATCCTTCAGACTTCATTTTCTTAGCCACATGCCTTATTTTTCTTATATCCTTTATGTAGACAAATATGGACTTTGGCATCAACTAGGTGGTCTCCCTAAGACTATTGCCCATCTTTCTCACACTGAAAATCACAATATCCCCTTTCTTTGCATAGGTAATGGGCACAGATAATCCCTTATCCCCTCCCGTGTCAGAAAATAATATGGGGATTGTGCTGTACTTCTTTGCTCAGGAGATGTCATTGGAAGCTACTGAAATTGCACTTGGAAGACTTTGATGTCTGCATCTAAATCTAGCAATTGTTTGCCAAATAGTCATTTGGGGACCCTAACTTCAGGTTCAATACATTATCCTTTTTTTTCTTTGATTGCTCAAGGGAGCAGTTAACACAGTGCTAAGCACATAGGAAACAACACATGCTTGTTGTAAATGCTTGTTGACAGATTGGTTAATCAATGGATTAATAAATACTGTTCCTGTTGTATAGCTTCAAGCTAGGGCAGTGAACCTAAATCCAAAAGAAGGTAGCTGTGAGTAGAAATTGCTTGGAATCAGGTGTTCCCCAAGATAAGTAAGTGAAAGAGCAGTTTATACATTGAGTAGGCTGAGAGGGACAACAACCTCCAGAAACACCCAGGTATGGGCTCCCTTATCCCACTCACAAAAAGCCTTTCATTGGTGAACAACCCAGAGGTCACTCCACAAGGCCCCTCAAATTCAGGGACACTCCTATCATGGGGGATGTCCTGCTGTATATATCTTTCTTTTACTGGTTGATGAATAAACCACTTATTGGCCAGTAGAGGCAGGAACATAGGTGGGACTAGGAGATGAGGAGAATTCTGGAGAGGAGGCAGAGGGAGGCCTCCATGGAGAAACACCATGTAGAGACAGGGAACATACGACATGCTAGGCATTCTCTGGTAAGATAAGGCCATGTAGAAATATATAGATTAGTAGCAATGGGTTAATAATTAAGAGAGAGATAGCCAGTAAGAAGCCCTAGCCATCAGTCAACAGTTTTATAAGTAATCTTAGCATTCCTGTGTTTATTTGGGGCAAAGCAACTGTGGAACCAGGTGAGACAAAAACCTCCATCTTCACTCCTACATAAACCACACAGCACAGAGATATCAGGGTCAGGTCCTTGAAATGAAGTGAACAGCATCCACATGGCTCTGAGCAGCTCACAAATACACATTGTAAACACCCATTTAGAAGTTTCTCACACCAGGCCCTGCTCTATGTATGTGTTTCTATTACTTTCCTTCATCCTCACTCCAATGCTGAAAGATCTGTGCCATTGTTATTACATTCCTTAGTTAGATGGAGAAATCGAGGCCCAGCAAATGAAGTCATTACCCCAGAGTCACAGCTGATAATTGGATTAGAAGCCATCTGGCTCTTAGCTGCTTCCTAAGGAAGGTCACCACTGGAAGGGTGACAGGAGACATCTAGACAGCCTCTTTCACTGTATGAAAGTGTAATGAACAAAAACCCAGAGCTTTTCCTTGGAATGTGATATATTACATTACTGACCAGCCTAATGTACTTCATCCTTCCATCTCCTTTGATCTCAGTGTTTCTGAGAAATCAATTCGTCATTTCCCTCACCCTTCCTAGATTGTCAAGGGCCTTTGAGATGCACCACTGCCTACTGGTCAAAATGAATGTAAAGCCCTGCAAAGGAGCCACCTGTATAAAGTAAGGAGGGAGCTGCTAATGGCACCAGCATGAGCCTGAACACATTTTATTCCAAGCCCCTATAACCCCCATCTGTTTGATGAACCTGCAAGAAAACACCTGAGGCTTCCTAGACCAGAGGCATGTTCAAGTTGATCACAGATTTCTCAACCAAAAGCAATCTAGATCCCTTACATTCCTGATGCCTCTGGGGAGAGTGTCATGAGGACTTATTTCACTGACTTCACTGGCTCAGAAAGGAAAAGGGATGCAAGAGGACAAACTCAGTGTTGTGACCACAGTTATCCTGAAACTTGTGTCTTCAGGGTTGGAGATGTACAAATATCTTAACTTCTCTGGGAATTCCTTGAAGGGACTTAACTACACTCATGGTTCAAAACCTGAACCATGTTTAAAAGTTTTATATTGGAGTCTAGTATATAGAGTTACACTTGTAGAACTGTCATAAGAAATAGGGGCCATAACCACTTCTTCCATAGATTGACATGCCCCCATGATAAGGCTTCTAAAATACAGTTTGAGAATCACTAGACAACTTGATATTCAGCTCTTCTGTTGTCTAGATTTTCCAATCCTATAATCCTGTT